CACTCTATCTGCCGTGTGCTGTTTTATATATATATATATATTTTTTTTTATTTTATTTTATTTTATTTTTTTTACATTTTACCTTATTTGTATATTTGTATAGTTGTATTTTATATTTAATCTGTATATCTGTATTTATGTTCTACTGTTAGTGTTATCTGTATGCACCAAGGGTCTGAGAGTAACGCAATTTCAATTCTCTGTGTGTATGTGCTGTACATGTGGAAGAATTGACAATAAAGCAGACTTGACTTGACTTGACTTGACTTAAGACTCGATACCACGAAGCTTGTAATCCTTGGCAACTGGTTCTTTATCACAATTGTTTATTGTAGTAGCCTTATACTTTTATAAAAGCACCACTGTTTCCCTCAGCACGCAAATACAGTCTCCATATTAACTTTCATGTATAGTTATTGCTGATTCACTCCTTTCTCTCTCATCCTCCTCTCCTTTGTTCTGACCATCTGAACTCTGTCTTTAGACCATAAACTTCTTTAGTGAGCATGATGCAGGTCAGGGCCCCCATGCCAGCACTGTGATTGAGTTTCATGCTTAGCCTGTCGGGGGTCCTGAGTGCCCAGTGTTGTCTTTGAGAGGGAAACGAGTGGAAGAGGCGGCTGGCAAATCCTCTAGCAGGAGTCCAGGGCTCGCCTTCAGCGCGGCTCTTTCACTCGGTGTCTTCCACAACCTGTGAAATGAATTTCCACCACAGCTTTACTCAAAGCTGACGCGCCAACTGCCATTACTTCCCCGGCTTTGACTTTTATTTCCCCGAGCCGTGAGTTGCCAACCACAGCGGCGTTGTAGTCAAATTGATTCCATTCGTTTGATGTATCATTGTTGTCAGTGCTAAGCAGATCACCACTGTGCATGAATATATCCACCCTAGAATCTCCACAATGAAAGCCATTTCCATTTTCTGCCCTTTTTTCCTTTTCTCTCATGCCATTTTTACACGGTTGTGTAAAATGAGGGAGGCGCGCCGTATCTTTGAAGAGCCTCTGTTTCGGGAAATTCAGTCGAAGAACCTTTTTGAAAGATTGAAATTTCACCTACTCCACTTTAAATATTAATTCTCCACCTCCTGCAGTCGAGCCCTTTGTCGTCAGACCTATACATTTTGGCAGGATTTCACTCCCTCCGACGATTATATGTGAATCTATCTTATCGAATTGCTCTCCTCTGGCTTTCTCTGCATTTTTATACGTTTTGACATAACAATCCGTTCATCCTAACAATGAGCACTTGAGCAGCTGTCGAGACTCTCAAAGACTTCACAGAGAAACTCTCGCAGAGACGTTCCACTTTACATTCCTGTTTTCACAAAGTATTTATGTGGTTTGAAAATGTGTATTCAGACTTCACTTTTTCACTCTCTGTGTCTGAGATGATTTTCATATTTGCTGCCCTTATAATCTCTGCTGCATAGCATAAGATTGTCGAAGTGGGCTGTGAAGAGCAGAAAACTCATTTAATATAAACAGGTAGAATGCACACAGAATTCCACTGAAAGTTTTCGCTGGAACGTCCGTCATTCATTAAAATCCCCTCCCCTTATGTTTGTTTCTTGAACATTTTGGCTACATCTGCTCCCAGAATGCTTGGTTTAACACGTTTAACCATTTTTAAAGCCATTCCGCAGATAATCCCACAAAATCAGAGGCAAAAATGCAGAGAGATTTCCAAATTCCATCTGCAAGCAAAAGGATTTTAATCAATCAGCATTAGCTTTTGATTTTGAGTCAGAAACGTTCCACCTTGGTGAAGAAATACTGCACTTCGCCCTCTACTGGACACATCTTAACCCTACATTTGAGTCATAATGGCAGTGTTAATTCTGTGCTGGTTTGGGTTTCTTAGCTGTGAATGAGAATTCCGACAATTACCCATTAAAGTGTTTGAGCTAACAGGGCTCTTCAGAGCATTCAGTGAGGTTGTGGAAAGCCAGTGTTTACAAGGCGGATGCATTTATTTTTAAGTGCAACAAAGCTGTCAGCTGTGTTTCTCCCAGAATACCTCTCTAACGCCAGAGCCTTTTAGCTGCCCATCTCCATTCACCAGCACCACATTAGCACAACAAAATGGCACTTACTTTAAATGGGCATTTTTGGCCCTTTTTTGGGTGATCTTAAAAAGTGCTTAACGAAATGTCTGTTGGTAAGAGAATTCATGGCATTACAAGACCTTTTGTTCTTGCAGTAGTTGCTGAAATGGCATTTCTTAGAGTAAGTCATACACTCTTAAAAATAAAGGTGCTTCAAAAGGTTCTTCAAGCGATGCCATAGAAGAACCATTTTTGGTTCCACAAAGAACCATTCAGTCAAAGGTTCTTTAAAGAACCATCTCTTTCTTACCTTTTTATAATCTGAAGAACCTTCTTTCACCACAAAGAACCTTTTGTGAAACAGAAAGGTTCTTCAGATATTAAAGGTTCTTTATGGAACCATTTAGACAAAAAGGTTCTTCTATGGCATCCTGAAGCACCTTTATTTTTAAGAGTGTACCTATGGATCCATACATCATAGGATATATCTAGTTGTTAAAGGAATAGTTCACCCAAAAATGAAAATGGGAATCATTTGTGCTTCCTCGCTTCGTGGAACATGAAAGCAGAAGTTTAGCAGGATGTTCACGCTGCTCTTTTCCATATAATGCAAGTGAATGGCGACCAACTTTTTAAAGCTCAAAAAAAGAAAAAAAAAGAAAAAAAAAAAAAACCGTAAAAGTAGTTTATATGACTTCTTTTGTGGTCTATGGAAAGAAGAAAGTCATACAGGTTTGGAGCAAATTGATTCCTTTAAGGTTTTTTTAACAACCTTTTTCTTGCCTTGAGTTCACTTTTCTGCTCCTTACAGATAATGTCTCTTTAAGGAATCTACAAATCAAATTAACTTACAGCATGTGCAATCTGGCAGAGACTGGCAGTGTGTGGTCGCTTTTATGTAAAGTCACAGATTAGAACGTGTGAAAACTGATATGATCATCCCAGATTTGCTTATTAAAGATATCCTGCCGTCTCTGTTTCCATGACATTGAAATCAGAGAATCCAGGGCTTTTTGGAATGAAAGTTATTAGAACTACTGGTGATTAGAGGACACAGACAGGGGGACGATGTTTTGTCTTTTTCTTGAAGATTTATTTGAGGGAGAATATATTTCTGGAATTATTTTGGTAACAGAACAAGCAGGACATACAGTGTTTCTCTGCTCCTGAGATATTCTCAGATTCTGCAGCTAGAGTTGTAAAGACCAATCCAAACTAGCCCAGACCCAGCCCTGAGTATTTATATGAGTAATAAAACTGGCCCAATATCAAAACCCCAAATTGTATTTTTAGAAATTTCAGGTCATTTCTAGGCCTACTATGTAATATAAGCAGCATTAACAATTGCAAAGTAAAAAAACAAAACAAAAATAATCATTGAAATTTATATTGTATTATATACAAAGTAATAAAAAGCAATAGATTTCGACTAATGTTTAAAAGTTTGCTTGGAGAATATAAATTCATATACTACCTGTTTGGGGTCTGTATATATATTTTTTTATTTTATTTATTTTATTTATTTGAAAGAAGTCTCTTGTGCTTTCCAAGGCTGTATTTATTCGATCAAAATACAGTAGAACAGTAATATTGTGAACTGTTATTATAATATATCATAAAAATATGTTTTCTATTTTGATGTAATTTGATGTAAATAAATTGTAATTTATTCCTGTGATGGCAAAGCTACATTTTTAGCAGCCATTACACTAGTCTTCAGTGTCACATGAAATCATTCTAAAATGCTGATTTAGTGTTTAGGAAACATTTTTTATTATTATGTTGAAAACAGTTATGCTGCTCAATATTTGCATGGACACCGTAATAAATTTTTTCAGGATTCTATAATAAATAGAATTTTAAAATAACAGCATTTCTTTGAAATAGTTTTTACAACATTATAAATGTTTTAATGTCACTTTTGATTAATTTAACGCTACCTTGCTGAATAGAAGTCTTCCAGTCATAAACCTTTGAAGTATAATAACATTCTAGTATAGTAACATTCTTCTATTACTTCATATGTAGGCCTATTATACACAGTTACCTGACGTACAGTAAATGTACTGTATTTTAATGATAACAGTTGGCCTGACAACCATAAAAAAATAGTATCCATCTTACCTGTTTTGATTTACAGAGGATTGGCTGTTCGTTTGGTCAGAAATCCTTGCATTCAAATCTAATTTGTGTGATATTTCTAACCTTCAAACTGCAGAACAAAAAACTCATGGAAACATTTCCACATGGGGAAAACTGCAACCTTGTTAACCCTGATCAAAGTGTTTGTTAGAAACTTGTGTGTGATGTCAACCAAAGAACAAATTATTTGGGGATAGTTTTGTATAGTTATATAGTATAGTTTTGTTTTGTGTTCCAGGTGTGAATTCAATTGCAGTTCCATATTCCAGATTTGTACTTTGATATTAGGAATTTTTCATATGCCGTTTTGTTTTAACTAAGTACTGTGAGGCCGGAGCAGCCAGGCTGATCAAACCCAGGCCTGGGCAAATCAAATGGCTTTGGTTTTATTCATTGTTTTTTAGCTTTGTTTGCATCACAATCAGTGGAGACAATGTTATGCTCTGCTTTGGAAATCTTTTCTGAAAATGCTATGGCGCTGGACCAAAAGTAAATTGCTTTTTTGCTGTCTTTTTTTTTCTGGTTGCTGCTGGGATGTGTTTTTGTTGAACTGAAATAATGAGAGTAAACCGCCACACACTCACACCCACATACATCGCAGCCTACATCCTACACACACCAGGTGTACAAAAACAAAAGGGTCGATAAATGGCCGCTTGACTGCCCCTTCATCTGTTGGCAGCACGCACTGGCCAGTAGCCAAATAACAACAAATAAACACAAGACACCCATGATTTTTACATGCATATGCTTTTAGTTTACATTCAAATATTTTGATATTACTTTTTACTTTCTCTTCTTCCTATGTTAGGGTGGAGTCCGGTTTCCAGAAAGTTCTTCAGGTGGATCTGGAGGTCAACGGGTTGTTGGATCCTCTGGGAAGTCGCTCAGTGACATGGCAGATCGAGTACCCCATCTCCCGAACCCTTTCGGATGAGATCCAGACACTCATCCGTCTGGCACCTCATGACCTAGGGGGAATCGTGCCATTGTCTATGGTGAGTTTAGTTCCTCGTCAACTCGTTCTCAACAAGTCCAAACATGCAATGCTGTTCTTTTGTCCTATTTTTATTGTTACTGTTTGCATATAATATAAATTATGGCTGCTTGCTTTTCAGGAATAATATAAGATGTATCACATAGGAAATGTTGATGTGTCATTTGAAGCAACAGTATGACTAACACTAATTAGCTGTAATTTGGTTAATTGAGCGTGCAGTTTGCTTTAAAACCGGCAACTGGGTCAAGACCAAAAGTAATTAATTTAAAATGAGAGGAGACTGTGAGGAGCCTCAAACAAATAAGGTAAACGGAAGATAATAAAGTTTGTTTTAATCAATATGGTGGCTGGGCAGTCACAGTTGGTGCTATTCCTGAGTGGGGAAGCACAATGCTATTTAACAGTGGCAAAGTATGCTCCAATATATATATATATACAGTGGGTACGGAAAGTATTCAGATTAGCAAATGGCTGCAATATAACAAAGAGTGAAAAATTGAAGGGGGTCTGAATACTTTCCGTACCCACTGTATATATATATATATATATATATACAAGATCTTGGGACAGATTTATTAAACATTGCAAATTAGCGTTAGAGCGGCAATTCCATAAAAGCGTTGTTGGGAGGGTAAAATTCTGTGGGTGATTTACTAACAATGCACACATTAAAGAAGACAGACGCAGCCAGATCATTTCCATAATGACCAGCACAATCTACCAAGAGCAAGACATGATTTTTTGTGTTAAATAATGGCGCAAATACCAGTAATTTGATGAGCACTAGTTGCGAATTCATTTTAATACTCAGGCGTAAAAATAACTGCGTCCACGCCTTTTCAGTGCTAATACTTCATTGCGCGTTTTTAGTAAATCCTGACAGTACTATTTTAACATCAAAAGACGGTTTAGTTAGCCTTTATTAAATCTGGCCCTTTATGTACTGTATATAACTACATAAAAAGCAAAAAAAAAAAAGGCAAAAGGTAAATTATTACTTTTTTATTCGGCAAGGATGCATTAAACTAAACAAAAGTGACAATGGATGTATATATAATGTTACAGAAGTATTTCAAATAAATGCTATTTTTTAAAACTTTCTATTTGTCTAAGAATCCTGAAAAATGTATCATGGTTTTTTCACAAAGAAATATTAAGCAGCACAACTGTTTTTAAAATTTTTAATAATAATTGTTTCTTGTGCATCAAATCAGCATACTTGAATGATTTCTGAAGGATCATGTGACACTGAAGACTGGAGTAATGACTGCTGAAAATTCAGCTTTGCCAGAAATAAAATGACATTTTAAAAATATATTAAAGTAAAAAATATGATAATATTTCAAAATATTACTGTTTTTACTGTACTTTTGATCTCTTTCAAAAACAACCCCCAAAATTTGAATATTTACAAAATACCATATACAACACTCTACATTACAAGCATTAAAGCCTTACAATAAAGTTCGATTAACTGTTTGTTTTTAAATGAAAAATATCCATTCTGTTTATAGACTCCCAGCACCTGATCAGGACACGAAATTAGTCTCTTATCCAATAAACATTGGCCTTTATTCCATTAAAATCAGTGCCACAGGTATCTTCTTTAGACATAGCTGTACTTTAGTGGAACTTTTATACCCATCTATCCTTTAAATCCTATGCACATATTCATGTAGATCAAAAGAGATCACAAACAGCATAATACTGCTGTGTGGTATTATGTACACTTTCCTTCACTAAACTACTAAAATGCACCAACAGTGTATAGATCGGAGATACACATTGCTGTATTCAAAAAAAATATATATTAAGGGGGCCTGTGATTCCAGTGCAGTCTCTACAGAAAAAAATGAGAAGAATTTGTTTTGAGTGCAGGTTTCATCTTTTAAATAAAATGAGAGGCTGAGGCAAGGAGAAAAATGGTGTTTGATTAGAGGTGGGCTACACGTCTGCTCTTCATTGGCTTCTTTTCAATAGGGTGGTAGGATGAAGATGATTTCATTTTGATGTGAAAAGGTTTGTGTATTTTCTGTAAGCACACAAACCACTGAAATCTGAATGCTCCCTCTCGTTAGCTAAAGCGTTTCACCTTCCTCTCACAACCTTCACATGCAAACACTCACACACACACACTCAGTAGATTTGGTTCTCTTTTGCATATCATCTTGAATTATATCACCTTGCCTCTTTTGCAGCCTGTCTTAATTGCGTTTTACAGTGCAGTGTTCTCTCACATACCCTATGGCGGCTCTTCCCCTTGTCCATAACGATGACATTGCCATCACCACACCTTGTTAAACTTAATCAAGACTTCGTTAAGCCAGCAGCAGAGTCAGCGGGCAGCTTTAATCACCCCGAGCGCGGCCATCCACTCCCCCTTCTCACTACCTGTCTAATGTAGAGGAACTACGCAGATTGGTGTGACAGGAACAATGGCATACGATAATAAAGGCAAGAGACTCCAATCTGTCCCATCGGAGGCTTCTGCTCCATTAGAATGAGCTTTTTCCCCTCTCGCGGACACCGGCTAATTCAAGCCTGCCAGCTGTCTCTTCGGCCTCATTTGAGAGGACAGCCGCCACGTGCCCGTTCCCCACTCAGTGGCCAAACAAGCACCATCAGCCGTCGCGTTTGAGAGCTGTGCCGTCTCGGCCCATTACGGTAAACACAGCCAGTCGTACAGTAGTGACGAGGGCGGAGAATGATGTAATAACATTGTGGAAATGAGCCCGGATGCCCTTACAGCCTGAGTTCGACACCCCCGGCTCGAGCCCGTTCGGCCCACTGGTGCATTTCGCACAACAATCACGGCCGCAGACAGAGAGACAACAGCCACCAATCACTTGTGTTGTCTGGGCCTCTGACGGAGCGCATTTGTCTTGAGCTCTCGGAATGCTGGGAGAGCAGATTGTTGTGTTACACAGCAGGAGGGGATCAATGTAATCACATCACTTTCAACTTTCTGAATGAGGAGATGCCCTAATAGGATTTGGCAGTGCATGATACCCTCAAAATGCAGGAAATCTGTTCTGGCTCATTAGGATGCACCAGCGTGTGCGTTCGCTCTCTCTCTCTTTATAATGTGTGTGTTTGTCTTTCTGCCTCGCTCTGTTTCTATACCTCACAACTTTTGAATCAAGTTTACTTAAGCTCCTTGTAATTGGCCGTTCAGATTTCAGTCCCTGCTGAGCTTGTTTTCTGTTGACTATTGAAAGCGCTCTCATTCTTGTTTGCCACCCTGTCTTCTCGCGGCGCTCAGAGAGTTTGTTCAGAGAAAAGCAAAATCAAACAAATTGCCAAGTCAGAGGCATCTCCCTTCAAACCCCTCTTCTGATTTTTTTTTTTTTCCAGGATTTGTTTTGTTTGGTTCTCCGTAGCCTCTTGGCCTTAGTCTTGAGTTTCGTTGTGTGTCAGGCTTTTCTTCAGAGCTCATGGGTTTCTCTGTTCTCTGAGCGACGCTGGCCTGCTGTTTGACTACCTTCAAGTCTGTTTGAACAGTGTCCTCTGTAAACCGCCTACAGGACAAGGTAATAGCCTTTCCTTTGTGTTTTCCACATGCCGTACGCCATAAATCATGCAACATTTTTGAACTACTCGTCAAATTTACATTGGGGAACTAGCTGCTAGTGATTCTTTCCTTGCTAATAATTAGCATGCACTATATATCAGTAGCATATTGAACATTTAATTGTGCAGTATTTTTACATTACATTTGCTGTCATCTAATGCTCACTTAAAGTTCATCTTTAAAACACCAATAATTTAACTCTTGTGCTGTCCTGAAAACCCTTTGCCTAATTAAAAAAATTGCTTGTGAATCCCTCATTATGCTGTATTAATTGCCAATCTTGGATTCCATCTTTTTGTCAGCTTATGCACTCCTGTTTTTGAGTGAAAAAAATCTTTATTTGTGGGTAGTTTTGGACATTTTTCCCTCAAAAACTAAGGTGCACAAGCTGAGATTAATGAGGCCTAGAATCAGTTAATTCCCAAAAAATATACAAAACTTATGATAATTAAAAAAAACAATTTGATAATAATATACCATAATGAGAAAATTTTATATATATTATTGTATATATATATTAATTTTATATATACTGTGTATATATATTTCCTACTGACACACTACAGCAAAAATAGAAATAACTGATTTAAAACCATTTTTATACTATACTAGTACTAGTACAATACTACAATACTAGTGTTCTAATAATTTTGGCCACCACTGTATTTTTGTCCATAGTACAAACTGTAAAGTGCCACACTATTATGTAAACTAAAGACTTTTGGATATCTACACATGAGATATCGTATCTGCCAGTCCATTGAGACTTGTCTACTAACTAAACTAGCATTAAGCAGCATAAACTAGCTCAGCTGTTCTTTTCAGCATGGTTGATCTTTAGCAGGGATGTGCACAGACATTTTTAGGGGCAGGGGCTCGAGTGGAAAAAAGGGCACTTCTTATATTTATTTTAAAAAATTTGTAAACAAAACGTTCTGGGATTTTACCGATAACGATAATTAGACGTTATTTTGCTGAGTGTGTTATTGTGCTGATATCTTAAGGACTGCAGTGGACAGCTGACTCCTAAAGTTTTTGATATTCTTCATATTCTGTGTGGTGATCAGTTCACAGCAGTGATTTTAGATTTTTACCTTTTATGGGCATTTTTACCTTCATAAAGCCATTTTTTCTAAAAGTGCGCATCATCTTTTCAGTCAAATTAATAAATTGAATCAGTCAATTAGAATAATAAGTCATTTGGGCTGTTACCAAGCAAATTAAATCAGTATTGACAAAATTCATCTTTGCAATGCAGATAAAACACAGAAGCTGCAGCTGAAGTGGCATTTAGATGCATTTACATACTGTTTAATGCAGGACATGAATGCATTTAACCTGCAGCTACAAATGCATTAATACTGTTTTGATATTTTAAACATAAAACATTGAATACTGATATTTGAAATTATAAAAAAGAAAAAAAG